GTGGATGAAGATACAGCAGGAATTCCACTGGATATGGATGAAGGTGGGACAGGGATCCCAGTGGGTGAGGATGCAGATGGAGCAGGGATCCCACTGGCCATGGACACAGACAGGGAAAGGATCCCAGACAATGCAGATGGGGCAGGAATCCCGCTGGACATGGACACAGAGGGAGCAGGCAGCCCTCTGCACGCCGATGCCACAGAGCACCAGTGCCTGAGCCTGGAAGAGCTGGGGAATTATTTCCAGGAGTGCATCGAGGTCGTGGAGCAGCTGGAGAGGGAGAGGGACGGCCTGATCGCCGAGCTGGCGCAGCTGCGGGAGCCGGCGCTGCGGGAGATCCGCCATGCCCACGAGGAGATCCAGGCGGCCTGCAGGCTGCTGGCCAAGGTGGAGCTGGAGAGGGACAACCTGCGGGACGAGATCCGCCAGATCAAGCAGAAGCTCTTCAAGGTGACCAAGGAATGCGTGGCCTGCCAGTACCAGCTGGAGAGCCGGCGGCACGACCTCTCCCAGCACGCCGCCTACCAGGGCGAGCTGGAGAGCCAGGCCGGGCAGCTCTCGGGGGAGCTGTCCCAGCTGAAGGAGAGCTGCGAGAAGGAGAAGGAAGTTCTGAGGCAGCGCCTGGAGGCTCCGCCGTGCCGCCAGGACAACCTGTACCTGCAGGAGAGCCGCAGGCTGTCCGTGGAGTTCGAGAGCTTCGTGGCCCAGAGCCGGCGGGGGCTGGAGGAGCACTACGAGCCGCAGCTGCTGCGGCTGCTGGAGCGGCGCGAGGCCGGGGCCAGGGCGCTGCAGGAGATGCAGGGAGAGATGCAGGGCATGAAGGAAGCCCTGAGGCCCTTGCAGGGCGAGGTCAGCCGGCTGCGGCTGCAGAACCGCAGCCTGGAGGAGCAGATTGTCCTGGTCAAGCAGAAAAGGGATGAGGAGGTCGGGCAGTACAGGGTACGTGCCCCAAAGGGCATCGCTCCATTTTTTTTTGGGAGCTGGGCTTTGCAGCCAGGGAAATGTGGGTGCTGCAGGGTTTGCTCGTAGGGCCCAGGGAAGCGGGGTGGATGAGGATGGGGAGGATGTGGAATATCTCCTGCTGGTTGGAATCAAAGTTATCCCACAGCCTGGCACGGGCCAAGTGAAACAGCAGCCCCTGGGCATAAGGCAAACCCAGAGATGTGGTGAGGCTTCACCCAGCTTGGAAAATGGGTTTCTCCTGAATGTATTCGCTCGGTTTTGGCCCCTCAGGAATAGCTCCAGGGAGGAGGTGGAAGGGATGGGGGATTTCCTTCCCCAAGCTCAACGATGCTGCTGAGCACAGGCACCAGACACTTCCCTCAGCCCCTCCGAGCACAGGACTGTGCCAAGGTGCTTGGAAAAGCCAGATTTAAATACAGGTGGCTTTTCTTACAAATCCCAATCCTGCTGGGGCAGGTTCTGCCCTTCCTGCTGCCAAGAGGGGTCTCACCCGTGCCCCCACAGCCCCAGGCCAGGCTGCCTCCTGGGAGGGTTATTTGGCTGGGCCAGGCATCCCCCCGGACAGAGGGACAAGGCAATTCAATATCTCCAAGAGCACATTTGGCAAAGAGGCTCCACAATTAATCTCCCCCCCTTTCAACACTCTCTGTTCTCGGCTCGCAATCGCTGCCTCCTCCCAGCAGTTTCTGGAAGCTGCCATTCCCCTTCCATCACGGCTCCTCCCTGCTGGGATGGGGACCAGGAGCACCAGCACCCATGCTGTGGCTTGTCCTGGATTTTCAGGGTCCCTTGGACCCCTGGTGTGCCTCCACATTTTCCTTTTCCTAAATTCCTGCTTTATCTCCTTCTGACTCACGGGTTTATACAGCTCTGGCAGCTTCTCAAAACACGAAGTAGTTCAGGGGACAAAACCAAGCAGCCAGGAGAAGCCTAAGGACAAAACCCAGCCCAGCTCAGCCTAAATCCCCAGCTTTGTATTCAAACAAAGGTTTTTTTGCAGAAGTTTTTATTTAAGGAGGGCGGTTGGGCAGGGGCAGCCTGGCTGTGCACGGGGAGATCCCTGAGGAGAGCGATGGAAGCAGGGTGGGAAACCAAGTGGGTGAGGGCAGCCAGGAGTGTGAGCACGGCCACCACGGGGCTTTGCAGAGAGAAACGTCACCTTCTGCATGCCCAAAACAGAGGGAAAATCCCAAAAGAGAGGGAAAATCCCAAAACAGAGGGAAAATCCCAAAAGAGAGGGAAAATCCCAAAACAGAGGGAAAATCCCAAAACAGAGGGAAAATCCCAAAACAGAGGGAAAATCCCAAAAGAGAGGGGAAAGGGTGGCAGGGATCGGTTATGGGGCGGAAGAGGAAGCAGAGGCTGTGCTCTGCCCTACTGGGCTTTGTGGCTTTGTGGGGCCTGGAAAGGACCCCGAGATATTGGTGTTGAATCCATTGATAATCAATACCCGGGGAGTGCAGCGCTGTGCCACCAGCGGCATCACAAATCCCATTCCATCCTCGGGATGAGCCCGTGGATTTTGGGGGCCACGAGCTGCATCCTTTGGCATTTCCCCTCCGAGCACAGCCCCGGGGAGCCCCACCACCCCCATGGCAGCCCTGGCCGGGATCCCGGCGGGATGGGGACCTGCGGGAAGGGACCCCAAAAGCAAGAAATGAGAGCTGGGAAGAGGCGGGGTGGGATGGGGGCTGCAGCCCGTCCCTGCGCTCCTCCCTCGGCTGATGCAGCCCTTCCCTCCCCGCAGGAGCAGGTGGAGGAGCTGGAGGACAGGCTGAAGGAGCTCAAGAACGGGGTCCAGCTCCAGCAGCGCAAGAACCAGGAGCTGGAGGAGCTCAGGAGCAGCCTCCATCGGGAGCTCTCCATCTACAAGTGAGTTTGGTCGCGTCCCTGCGGGGCTGGGAGGAGGAAGGGGATGGTGGAAGGAGCACAGGCTGCTCCTCCTGGGGCCCCGCAGGAATTCCAGCTCCTTTGCGCAACAGCAGGGAGGGATTTGCTGGGAATTCCCGCCGAGGGGTGGAGTGGCTTCTCAAGAAGCAGGTGTGGCAAGTTAAGTGGTGGTTTCCTTTGGAAAATTTGGAAAGGAGCTGAGGTTTGGCTTTGGGAAGCTGAGGATGCTGGAGCTGTCCTCTCCTGCTTTCATTGCCCGTGAATCCCTAAAGCTCCAGAAAATGTCTATGAGTTTGTGATTGTTTTAGTCACCCAGCTTGGAGCTGCTGCGTTATTCCAGCCTCAGCTGGACACACTTTTTTAACCATTTTCTGCAGCCTCACTGCTCCTTCAGCATTTCTTTTTCTCCTTCTTCACCCAAATTCTCCATTCAAACACACCACAGCAGGACATCCCCCACACCAAAACTTTTTTATCCAAGCACAGGGATGAGCTCTCAGCCTGTGCTGTCACCAGCCGAGGGGACAAAGTGCATTTAGGATTCAGCCCAGATCCCAAAACCACCCTGTCCCTGCAGCCTGGCTTCCCAAATCACAGCCCAGAATTTAATCCCAGATACAGCAGTGAAGTCTCTAAACTCCTGGAATTTACAAATTGCCATCCCTGGGAGTGAGCTTTAAATGAGCTTTCACATTTGCTCTGGGGAGCTCAGAGTTAAGTGCAGCTCTGAGCTGCCTTTTCCATCAGCTCCCACCAAAAATGACATTCCCTTCTGTTAAATCCTGTCTGCCAAGGGCTCTGGAAGGGCTGGGATGGGCTCACACGCTCAACACCATGGACTGAGCCTCTTGAAGTGTTTCCCAATTCCTTTTTCTTTCATCCTATGAAAAGAACGTTTCTTTCCTCTTTTCTCCAGCCAAAGCATTGATGTAAATATTCCACAGGCTGAATTTCCTTTTTTTCCCCCCTCACAGGAGCTGCTTAGAAATCTACGGGCACCTCTGCAAATCAGAGGAAAAAGCAGAGCAGGACTCTTAGAACCAGGAATTTTCCTCTTTGTAGCAAAAACCAGTGGACAGAGGACACAAGGGATGTCTCCTCATGCTGCTTTACCCTGCCTGGTGTGCAGCAGCTGCCTGGAGCTGGGAATGGCAATCTTTTCCCTGGCTATTTCCCCAGGTGCTGCTGCTGCTCTTGTACTAAAACTGCTTTTCCCCAGAGGAGCAGAGCAAACAATCTTTGTACTGAACGATGGATATGGATGAGGAATAACTTTAATTGATGTTTTGCTGTGTTTGGGAAAACTTTGTCTTGTTCCAGATTGTTTAAGCCTACACAGAAAGTTCTGGAAGCCGGTGTTGGAGGGGGGTTAGTTTTAAAAGTTTACATGCAAGAGAAGCTTTCTCCTTTGAAGAGGATTTTCTTTTGTATTTCAAGAGTTTCTGCTGTACTGGGACATGCTCCACAGAAATGAGGTGGTGGGGAAGAGATTTCCACTTTATATTGAGTCTCACACTGAAAATAAAAGGTCAGAGTTTAAGGAGCCTTTTCATTCTGAGCTGAGTCTCAAAGGCCCAGATTTGTCTGCCAAACTGAGGTGTTTGTATCAAGGATAACAAAAAACAGTTGTGGAAAGGGCTAAAGGCAGAGTTGAAATGCAGAAAGCAGCAGGGCTTTGAGGGGAAGAACAATTCAGTGATTTGGTGGCTGCCTGGGGGTTCGAGTGCTCATTAATTTATTTCACAAAGCAGCAGAAATGAGAGGGGGAGAAATACCCGATTTGTCTTAAACATTATAAAGTATCTCTACCAGACCACACTCACCTCCCTGAAAATACCTTCAAACAAAGCAGTAAATGCCAAAAAAACACAAAACTCCCCAACCTTGGCAGCGTTTACGTAGAAAATCTTTATTCCAACTGAAGGACTTACACGCAATTAGTCATGAGGAGATGGAGAGTAACAGGCTGCTGGTGGCACTGGACACCCGAGTGGAAGACGTGCAGGACCTTGTGGTCAAGGACTAAACTCCAAAAAAAACAGTGAGTTCATCCACATTTCACTTGTTTTCCACCAGCTGCCAAGGCTGTCGAGGGCACCGGGGTCATCCGTTGGTACAAACAAACACCTTTAACGACTTGAGGGCTCCCCCAAGTTTTAAAAACCATTTCACAGAAAGGAAAGAAACATTATGTGAAAACACAGCTCAAGAAACACACAATAGAGCAAAAAAAAAAAAAAAATCCATGGGAGGTGAAAGAGGCTCTGCAGGAATAGCTAAAACCAAACCGCTGGCACCCAGCAGGAGGGAGGAAAGGGAAAGGAAGGAATGAAAAACCCAGAATTGCCAGGAGAGACAAAAAGAAAAAAAATAGAAATTTCAGTTCAAGTCAGAACTTGCAAGTCTTGTATCTGCAAAGGCAGAAAAAGCAACAAAGTACAGATAACTAAAGGAATTCCAAGGTTTCTGAGTTGTACTGAGGAGGACAAGACCTTCCACACCATTTCTGAGCTGTCAGGGGATTAACACTTGGATCATCTCTGCTGGCTCAAGCCCACTCGGGCAGCTCTGCCAATTTAACTTTTGTTTAAATTAGGCAAAAGCCTGTGGCTGCAGCAATCAAATAGAGAGAAAAAAACGAATCCCAAGCTTGCTGTGTGATGAAGGCAGTTAAAAAAGGACAGCCAGGCCAATAAAGGAGGCTGCTGATGTGGGAATTCTGGCCAAGGAGCCACAGCAGGCTGAGGGGGCTGAGCCCTTTTTATTTTTCTTTTTTTGGGTGGTGGGTTCTCAGTGTGTGGGTGGAAAAAGCCTGTGATGGGATCTACGGGAGGATGGCTGAACACAAAGTCTACGTGTGTGTCTCAAAACCAGTGTTAAGTCAATCTCAGGGCTGAGAAAGAAGAGGAGGAGAAAGACTAAAAGCAGGGAGAAGTTGTCATCTAGGATCCTTGACCTTCTGGATCCACGCTTCCTTCGGGGTCTTCATCGTTGTAGATGTTCTCTGCCTGCAAGACAGGGAGGGAGACACTGAGGGAGCATCTCCCACCCCTCTGGACAGGTTTCCACCCCCAAAAACTTCTGGACATTTTTTTTTTTTATTTGCAGATATGGATCACTGATCCCTGATCACATCTACATTAAAGCAGCAACACAAACAATTCTATCTATAAATCCAGATCTCAAAAAATGTCCTTTAAAAAGGAATCTGCTAAAGGTGAGTTCACTGCAAGACTTAAAAAAGAGTTTTAAGTATTTATTTTGTAGATCTTCTACTCAGCAGCACTTGATAAAAGAGCTACACAGAAAGCTGCCAAAAAAAAAAAAAAAAAAAAAAAAAAAAAAAAAAAAAAAAAAAAAAAAAAAAAAAAAAAAAAAAAAAAAAAAAAAAAAAAAAAAGGAAAATGGTCTTGTCAAAGGTTAAGATTGTTGATTCCAAAACTTTCAACAGCTGGGAATGTAGGGGCCAGCAAACTGTTCCTGTCCACCAGCACCCTTTTCATCTTTGGAGAATGAAATCTCAGATATTCTTTAAGACAATAACACAGAAACCTCAATTTCATCCTTGGTTCTCACACGCTGTTTTCATTCAAACACAGAAGGGAAAAATGTCCTTCTGCACCAGCACTTTCTTTTATTTTATTTTTTTTAAATACAAAATATCTCCTGAGTATTTGGAAACCATTGCTCTGGCCAAAGCACAAGGGGATTTCACTGCCCCTTTGAGATTTCAGCAGTGCTACAAACTGGGTAATTCTGAGGACTGTAAATAAAAGCGGGAACACTGAAATCCAGGAATTCCAACACCCACTGCACCTTCCCAAACAACTCACCATTTGCCAGACTTGCATGATATTATCTTCTGATACAGAACAAATGACCCAGGGCTCATTGGGATTCCAGGAGAAATCCGAGATCTTTGCAGTGTGACCACCATGGATAAACTAGAATTGGGGAAACAAAAAGGTGAATGGTTTGAAATTTGCACTGCAAGGTGAGTAATAGGTGAAAATAATTAATGAGAGTGAAAAGATTTACCAGCAGCTCTGGGGGACCATCCTCAGCATCCTCAGGGGATTGCTCCTCTCCAATTTTACTGCAAAAAAAAAAAAAAAAAAAAAAAAAAAAAAAAGGTGAGGGCTGGCTTGGGGTTTTTTTGAGATGTGATGCAATTAATCTGTAATATTTTGAGGAATTTGGGATTTACCTCAAGTCCCAAACATTTAGCCTGCGGTCTGTGCCACTGGAGGCCAGGATGGTTTCATTGTGGGGAGACCACTGAACCTGCAGACAGGGATAAATTTAAAAGTGAGTTTTGAGAAGCTGTGACATTCCCCAACACTTCATTTTGTACTGTGGAAAGCTCAACAAGAACTCAAATTGATACCGACACAAATACGTGTGAATAACATTTATCACAGGAAGAATTGTGAATATTCACACACAAAAAAAGACATTTTCACCAAAAAGGTGCCACCTGGAACTTTCCCTCTAACAAAACCCACGTGTTTCCCAGTGCAAACAGCTCCCAAGGGTATTGGCTGCTTCTTATCTTAATAAGGATTGCACAAATAAAACCCACGGATTCCTTCAGCAGTAGGCACAGCTCTCACATGAAAATAAATCACTGTAATTAAGCTTAACTGCCCAAAATCTCACAGTTACTGCTTCTGCTGGAGATAAAGCTCTTCAGAACACACCACTTATAATAGGATCACAGGATTAGGCAGGAACACAGAATTCTGCACACTAATGTGGCATTTCAGGATTCTGTAATTTCATTTAGACATAACACAGTCTGAACTGATAATCCCTCCACCAAAAAAAAAAAAAAAAAAAACTCACTACATATTTTTCCTCTGATTAAGGCACAAGTTGGAAATGGAAATATTTAATCTGCTAAGCAGGTGCTGCCCATGGTGTGAACATTCTCTATTTACAGCAGCAAAATCAGCAATTATCTTTTGTCAGAGAGTTTTAAAGCTTCCTGCAGGACCAGGCTGAGGAGATGGAAACCCTGCAGCCATTTCCCTGGGCCTCCTGCTTCAATCTGCTGCTATGAATAATTTAATGGACTCTGTACTGCTACCATTTCATCCTCCTGCTGTGGTTAAAGCTCCAGAGCATTGCCCTGATCCCTTTCTGGACTCCCTTTCTGCATGGGAGCTCTGCAGGTCCACAACAACAACAACCAGAAAAATATAAACAGATAAAAGAACAGAATATGCGTTTTTAAGTACAAAAATATTGTGGAAGAACTACTTTCCTTTTCCAGGCTGCTGAGTAGAACTATGTCTGTAAAGATAAAAGATAAAGACTTTTTTTATACCTGAAATATTTCATCTTTATGTGATTCAAAGGAGTGCAGCTTCAGTTTTAGGTTCCTCAAGTCCCATAGAGCAACAGTCTAGGAAAAAAAATATACAAAAATATTTCGTTGAAGTAACCAAGATGGACATCCAGCCCAGAAGGTGAGCAAAGATATTCCAATATGCAGGCAGAAGTACCTTATCAGCTGATCCTGTGGCCAGGATAAACTCACTGTAGGGGTTGAAGGAGAGGCAGTTCACCTCAGCTGTGTGAGCATCCACGGAATGACTGGGTTTGGAGGTGTTGTTTGACCGGGTGTCCCAGCTGGGATGGGAAAACACGGAACCAACAAAGGTTTGTACCCCATTTCACTGATGATGGAGCTGGGAAAGCTTGAGGGGCAGAAACAATTTGTGAAGGGTTCCTCCACTTACATCATGAGCTTCTGATCATCAGCAACAGATCCAAAGAGGGATTCATGGAGCAGGTGCCAGGATACATCTTCCACCACCGCTGTGTGTCCCGTGAAGATGGTCTTGGCATCCACCACTTTGCCTTCTTTGGGAACAGCACTGATATCCCACAAGCAAATGGTCTTTAACACAACAAAAAACATCAAAAATTACGTCTTTAGACTCTTTTTCCCCTTTTCCTCCTCAACCCCAGGGTGGTTTTGCCCTTGTGCAGGTTCAGCCCAGGTACTCACGTGATCATCAGAAGCACTCAGCAAGTGCCCGCTGAGGTTGGGGTTCCAGGAGAGCCCGTACCCCTCCTTCTGGTGCCCACGGAGACGCAGGTCTGGGTTGCACTCTCCAGAAGGATCTGCAACAAGGCAGGGTAAGGATCTCAGTGCCTGCAATCATTCCCTGGAATAGCTGGCACTAAGGTTGAGGAACTTTAATTTAACCCCCACGCTTTGGCCTGAGCTCCAGGTGGAGGGAGGAAGAGCAGCTCAGCTGTTCCTGCTCAAAAAACCTCTCCTGAACACTCAGAAATGTAAGGTGGGATGTTTTTCTTCCTCCCATCATCTCCAACTGCACTTTTAAAGTGAGGAAGGCACTTCTGATCCTCCCCACAAGCAGCAAAAGGAGTTACTTTAAACAATCCTGATGAGTTCACAGGTAAATGACTGTTAATGTATTTAGAGGATATCAGGGGAACAGCTCAGCTACCCACCAAATCAATTTACAGTTTCCAAAAATCCACCTTCTACCACATCAAATACCTCACAGTG